TTTCAATTTGACGACACTGTATGAAATGAAACAGGGAGAAAAAAGCAGCCATTGTTGATTTTCTTGTGGGTTTTTCTCAGTACAGGCTGCAAGGTCTCCCGCCGTAGATTTGCTAACCGATGGCGTAGCTCTCGACTTTTACATGAACGGTCTATGAACACAATTCTAACCTCTCTCTGTGTTCTGTGTGTATATCGTGCCAAAATGCTTCAAAGGTAAAGATACTAAACAGAGCGGTGCGCGGCGCCAAAATGCTAATATTATTTAATACCTACTCGCGATACGAATGTAACTAATGAATTATTTAAATATAGTCAACATGTGACTACGTTACTATAATAGAATAAAATTCGAGTATGCTTTGTTTCGTTTGCAAGCATTCTCATCACGTAGGTAGTACGTCAAATCAATCAATCTTGTCCATTTGTTGAAATTGTCAATAGAACTTATATAACTTCATAGACTTATCTAGAAACCTAAATCAATGTATTAAAGTAGCTAACTCGAGATAATATGCTCCAAAATTCTCTTAAACTTAGAGTTAACTTAGAACTAAGTTTTGTTTTGTGTAAGTGACAGTAGTCTTTTCTTTGGACCTGAAATTTCGGTAATGGAGCACGATAAAGATGTAACACACTACTTTCACATTAAGTTTTAAACAACTTTTTATAATCAAATCCTTAAACAGACAGACCAGACTAAAAAAACTGTCAATTTAATAATATTGTGTCTAAATCCAATTATCTCCAAACTGGTACCTGCCCAGATAAATGCTGAAAGGTGTCTACAAAATAATCTCTAGTCCATTTAATCATTTCCGTGGTAAAGCTTCGATGGTGAAATCATCAATATAAATAATATACAATGTCAATGGGTCGAGTTTATTGCTTAAACTATTCATTTATTCCAAAAGTCTAGTCAACTCAAAATTGTTTATGGACCGATGGACGTTGGTCCCAAGGTGCATCGCACCGGGAAGGGCAGTATCGGTTTTTTTTTTTAATAATTCATGACGATGGATACAAATCCTTCAGTCGTATACATAAATACAAATCTTAATCTTCTTGTTTACATTAGAATGTCGGTGTGACGCATTCTAATGTTTCAATGAGTGTTTGGCACGAAATGTATTTAGTTGGTTTTTTCGATTATCTTCTGTGAGGTAGTCAACACTACAATAAAGTTCTCACGTCCACTTGACCGAAATAGCGTATATTTTAAAGATTCCACTAATTCTTCAGTTGCGTAGATGGTTGTAACACAAAATCGCACCAATTTTATTTCACAATATCCACTATGAACGAATTAAAGAATAATTGAAATAAGCACCGCACTCGGTGAAATCCCGCCAAAATCTCCGGCAGTGTCGGTAAACACTCAATGTTGCCAGGTAGGATTTTAAAAAGATAAGGAAAAGGAAAGGGATGCAATTAAAAACAGTAGAAGCAGCGGCGTATTTTTTCCGATTTGCAGGTTGCCTATGTCCAGCAGTGGACGTCCATCGGCTGATGATGATCTCAATAAATCAGTGTTTTTTTCTCTATCTTATAAGTAAAAAACCCAGGATTTAGCTTCTCTTTTGTGTATCTACTAGTTGATCTTTTAAAAATCTTAGATTATGATGATAATGCATATTAATAAACACAGCATCATGCCTAATTCATAGTATTTGTTAGGACATGAGTAAAATTCAGATGCGTCCAAATGTTTTGTTAAAAGACTAATACTATAAAACATCGGTAGCACATAATCGACGATAACCATCTACTAATGATCCATTGTTTACGATCCAAACACATTGTGGAGATAAAGCTTAGCATTCACCATCGAATTAGTTATTTTATTATTATTTATTTATTGTACTTGATACAAATTAACTTATTATTTATTTGATGATTATTTTGTGATTCGGGAATATTACCATAAATTTAAAATGTTTTATTTAATAACTGGGGAATTTTTCATATTCGCGTCAGTACATGGTGATGATACAGATATATATATATATATGAGTGGTGGCTCACAATAAAAATTCTCATATGTAATCCTTGTTTTGGTAGGCAAAGAAAACAAAAATATATTGCATCTACTAACATAATATATCACCTCTTCCAATATCCGTACATAAAATGCAACCGTTACTGACTGATCTATCAACGCACAGCTCAAACCACTGAACGGATTGCGGTGAAATTTGGCACACATATAGCTATTATTATGTAGGCGTACGCTAAGATTGAATTTTCCAAAACTCACCCCTTAAAACAGGGGCAAAAATTAACGTGGACGAAGTGGCGGGCGCATATATTTTAATGTACATGGCTAGAAGAGTTAGTGCAGTAAGTTATTATTTAATAAAAAAAACTGTGTACCTAAAAACTTCAACAAGAGCTTCAGAGAATGCAAAATAAAAATATGAAAACAATCTTCGGTTATCCGTTTGTAACAACAACGGATAAAATATTTAAACAAACCAAAAGAATGGTATAATACTTAGAAAAAAAAATGATCAAACAATCCATACTGAAAAAAATCGAAAATAAGTAAACGCAGTCTTCGAAGATCAAGCTTACCAAAGGTATGTACACAGAACACAGAAAGAGATATGTACGTACGAATTATGCCAAAAAAAATATCATCTTTGAGGGAGCACAGTTTCACAATAGTTTGCCTTCATACATAAAAAATGTCAAGTTATTCATCAGTTTTAAATCTAAACTGCTTATATTAGTTATACTGCGGAGAAAATTGCACTCTTTACGTTTTTTTTTCTAAGTTTCACGTCGATGCTTATTTAATAAAATAATACGTTGGTGATTCATTCGGTGTCGATATTACCCTATGATCGTTTTTATGTTCATATTGACTTTATGTCTTTTTCGAAAATAAATTCTTTAAACCCACACAAAAACTATTAAAACTTGACCACTTTTAGGTTTTGAAATGGAATCATGCATAAAAAGTCGTTGTACGCTCTCAATGTTATGTTTATGATTATATATTGTATGTACGAGGCTTGATTTCCAGACAAGCATACTAATGGCAGTCGACATCCTAAAACAATGCCGAATTCAATGAGTCTCTATTGTATGTAATAAGGGACTGCTAAACACGGTTTCTAGGATTAAACATGGAAACTAAATATTCACATCTATATAACGTATATTTTAAAGGAACAATCTTAAAAGGACCGGTACGCACTTACGACGGAAAAAGGTGATGGTGTGACTTGGTTCATTATTAATTTAAGTACGTTGGTACCTATTTGACTTTTTATACCGGTGTTACCCGCGGTTTTTTAAGGATATTCTCCCGCAGTAAAACGTAGCCTATGTGTTAATCCACGGTGTCAGCTAACTCCATACCAAAATTTTATTAAAATCGCTCCAGCCGTTTAGACATGAAGAAGTAACAAACGTACACACTCACACACTCACAAACTTTCGCCTTTATAATATTAGTGTGCTAATCACACTATTATTAACATATTTTCAAGAGACGGAGAAACTATCCATTTGATATCACCTATTAATTTATACTGTTAAAATTAATTAAACTATTAAAGATCTGATGTGGATTATGACTCTTTTCAAATAAATTAAAATAGAAAATGTAAAGGGAGGACAAAACTTGCTGAGTTTTTTGCCAGTTCTTCTCAGACAAAACCTCTTGAACCGATGGCATCAAATTAGACTTTCATAAGCGTGTAAATTGTACCTAAATGAATAAAGAAATTTTTACTTTGACTTTCAGTTACCCTTAAATAATCACTCAACTCAGTATTAGAGGCACAAGCCCAAACTTTTACAGATGCATAATCGTTTCGTCATCATAAAATTTTGTATCGAAGGATCCAGTTTGTCCGTTAGAGGCGCTGCTTAGTTTTCATAGAAACTTTGACGATGCCATACGATTACATAGCTGTCAAAGTTCGCGCTTGATTCGAACATTTCGTTCGCTTAATGGACGACATCTCATCATCATCATCATCAGGCCTTTTAATGTCCCCACTGCTGGGGCACAGGCCTTCCCTATGGATGGAATAGGGAGATTAGGCCATGACCCACCACACGGGCCCAGTGCGGATTGGCGGGTGCTAACGACTGCAGATGCAGCCGAGACCAACGGCTTAGCGTGCGTTCCGAATCACGGAGGAACTCCAGATAAAAGATTTTTGGTCACCCATCCAATGACCAACCACTGCGAAAGTTGCTTTATTTCAACGATCGCAGTCGAACCCGCGCCATCGAGCTCCTCGACGACATCTATCACTAAGAAAAATACAATTAAGTACTTTACTTACTATATACTATTGATTTATCTGTTTTTATCTGCTATGAACTTGAAAATAAAGATTACTACAATACATAAACATAAATATACTGAACACAAAATAACGATTATATCTATTGTTTGAAGTCGCTATATGTAATCAAAGTCAACGAGCAAAGTGAATAAATTAAATACACCTACTAATTCATAAAATATTCTATTAAATATTTAGTCGATAGTAAAAAAAGCTAAAACACATTAACGCGGACTGGGCCTTAAAGAAAAACATGTAATGAGCCACCTGTTAATTTTCCCGCGCAAACAGTAAAAAGTCTATCTATCATCGAGTGTTATTCTAATACAAAATATCGTCCCTTTGTAGCTCTAGCAACCCCAATTAACAATAAATTTGACTGACACTTGAAAAGTATGCCTAATTTGCGTTAAATATAAATACCTAGGTAGTAACAGACACGTTGAATGTTTTAGTAAGCGACAACCAATATTAATTTTATTAATACGTTTCCCAATTCCATTTGTTATAGTGTTACAGTGGAAAGTTCCGTTTTTGTCAATTAACTAAAACCCACTCTTCTGAAAGTTATAGGAAGCGCGCATTAGTCAATTGTCAAGCGTTCACCACCGATGGGGTTGCGTGCTTGCCAGCCTAACCGCCCTATAAGGCTTCATAGGGCGGGCGGTCACGGCGGTAAACATTCAGATCAGTATGACACGGTCCGTGAAACGCAACGCACGCGTCCAAAACCGCGTATAAAGGAACGCAACACGCGCGCAAAAACTTACGTTCCACTCGTAATTATAACGAATTGTAAGTATTGAATAAAATATTTCTCTCCTTTTCCACGAGTAAACCAAAACAGCTCAGTATGGTTTCTTAAGTTGGTACTTGTCTGTGTTAAAAAACACACATGTAGGTACTGTTGTTATCTCGAAGTGATAAAATGTTTGATAGGAATTTCTCTGTCGCGTCATTACGAATGTGTTCGTATCTATCGATTCGTTACAAATCGATTGATGATTCCGTATCAATTATTCAATCACCCTTTTCCTCACTACACGCGGTGAATGGAAAAATTGGAACTTAAAAAAACAATAAAAAATTCAATGCAATGATGTATGCCGGTAAGTAATTTTTAACACACATTCAATATAAAAATAGTTTTTTAGTGCTAGATTGTTGACACTGTTTCGTATTAGTTACTCGTATAAAAAACGGTTGACGTTATACACTTACCTGATGGTATTGTAAAAAAATACACGCCTCAAAACTTTAACTAAATGCGAATAAATTGATTCGTTACGCTGATAAACGTAAACATTACTATTTTATATCGCTCCACACCTGTTGTTTCTTAATGGAATAGCTAAACCACTTACATAATGTCATACATCGGAATTGTTTGCTCATTCCGTTTGTTTAACCACATTACAGGTGTTACGTTCATTTGCAAATCTTTATGTTTGCTGCAATCCTAATTATCAACGCAGATGTTTTTGGCTCACACACCTATATACATACTCTTAATTCTTAGATCTAAATGTTGTGACATTCTTGGTCACTTTTTTACTTTATTCGTTCAACATTAACGTTCATATTGAAAATAATATTTATGTGTGTTTTCGTAAAACTCATTGTTTATAGAGATTTTGGGATTTTATTCCCAAAATCTAACCCTCGGGAGTTTAGAATTTTAATCTTTTTTGTTCATCTCAGTGTCTCAGAATGGCACACTTCGGTTTTTTCCCGATAACATCAAGAATATCCTAGACTCTATCAAAAGCATTAATGGTATAAGGAAATGGTTAGTGCAATGGATTTAATACCTATATAGGAAATATACATTAAAATTAATCTGATCAAAAAACATGCCTAAACGATTTTTCTGATTCAAAACTACAGTTATTTGTTAATTTTAAGATAATTTAACTCAAAAGTCCCGAGAAGCCAAAAGGATTTACGGCTTTAGCAGTCATAATGAGATATATAGGTATATAATAACAAAAATATAAACTTAAATAAAAAAGAAAACACTTATAAGTTTTAATAGTTTGTTACTTGTTTAGTTTTTATTCTGAGGTATAAACTCAAAGAATGACAGTGATTAACGCATAACATTCGACCTCTTTACATCAATTGCGGCAAATTCACAGACTCGTTATCAGTAAATATTAAAAAGTTAACTAAAAATCGTATTTACTTATGATTTTGTTAAATACAGGCAGTCCTCGACTTACGTCGTTTAGATTTACGTCGTTTCAAGTTACGTCGAACAATGTTTTGCCACTATTCCCCAAGCATACGTCAATTGTTTCGATTTCCGGCTTAAGAGAATTTACTTGTCGCGAGGCAACCCTTGTGATTTACATGTAAACATATGAAAAAATATGTGTCGACTTACGTTGTTTCGATTTACATCGCGTATTTCGAGAACCTAACATGCCGTAAGTACGAGGACTTTGTACTTACAAAGTTAAACAACTTTTGCATTGGCCTTTCAATGGGATGAGTGATCAAAGATATATTATTTCGACTTTTCCATGCTTCAGAAGGCACTTCAAACCGTTACTTCACTGGCTGCATCTAAAGTAACCTTCACATTTCACAAGACCATAATAATTATAACTAGGACTTGGTACCTCTTGTGATCTAACTACTGTTGATGAGTAAGGTTCTGAGTCAACGGGGTAAAGGATTAGGTTCAAGCTGACTAGGTAAGGATAGCTGGAGCGGCAAACTTGTTTGCTGTCTTTCATCACCTGTCTTTATGTCTGGACTCCACGCACACAAAGGCTGGGCGCATATGTACGGTTTCCCAATCAGGATTTCAGATTCAGAATTCCTTGAGCCTAGCGCAAACGTTTCGTTTACTTTCCATTAGCTAGTTACCGAACCGAACGATAGGTTTTTCCATTCTGAATAAATAAGAGTTCCTGATTAGGAATTCCGATTCGGAGACCGGAATGCACGTCCTTACATACAAAATGTTTAAAGAGCCGCACACTATTTTTTCCGTATGGAAAAAACCTAACGGTCAGTTCAAAAACTAGCTAATAAAAAAACCGCAAGGTCTGCGCTAGGCTCTAGGAATTCCAAATATGAATTCCTGATGAGGAAAACGTACATATCGACAGTGAAAAAGCAAATTCTCTTATACGCCACTTTGGTGTTGCTTAAAAGTGAACTCAATTTCAGTTTTTATTCAATGTTTAATTTTAAGCAGCACCAAAGTGGCGTATAAGCGAATTTGCTTTTTCACTGTCGATATGCGCCCGGCCTTAGTGTGGTGGTTTAATCTCACTTCTGAACTTCAATCATACTTGCCAGAGGTGGCTTTCCCTATGGTGCAGGACATAGAGGTTAGAGAGAAGGAGAACGATTGCTACGTGCTAAAGCATTAGCCCGCCTGTCCCTGAAAATTTGTAGAATTTATAGTTCATTTTTCAGCCACCAGCCGCGCTGTCGTCCGAAAGTAGTAGCTGTTTATGAGTACAAGTAGATGAAGTTAGTTGAATATTATATAAATTTTCTTCGCGGCATTGGTCATTTCAAATTAGCCCGCTTTTAATTAGACAACTTAGCGATCGCAGTGCCTCACTTATTTTGTCCATATTTTTGGGACATTACTTTATACAGCGATCGTTCTCCTTCTCTCTAACCTGGTGCAGGGTCTGCGTTGCACGCAGGCGCAGCGGTCTCAGGGGGCGCCGAGCGTCTCTCGCCACCATTACATTTTTACTGCGCACGTACTAGAGGGCGCTAGGTTAATGATTGCCCACGAGCGCTACTAGGGTTTGGAGACGCCTCTGATACTTGACATTAAGTGGGGTGGTTTAATTTGCTGCGCCTCATGTGAAAATATCTATAACTGCTAAGTACCTATACCTGACGGGAAATGAAATAAAACAATAAAGGGAGCTCTACTTAAATCAAAAACCTATATATAAAGATTTTAATTTTTGAGCATTCAACTGCTATATTAATACTTCTAAGGAAAATGTTGCTAAAAACAACCACGCGGTCCAGGCATCAGACAGAATTGGAACATGCACCTTCCGATATTCGGGGGATGGCTAAACCTCGTGGATTTTTGAAGTAAAAGTTCTTTACGCACGCTATACTTGGGGGATAAGGGGATAATGCGATACGCGTTACGAAAATTGTGTTCGGGTGAGGCGAACAGGAGTTGAGTGGGGGACTTAAGTAAGAGAAAGCAGTTAGCGCGCACATTTTCTATCTCACTTTCTCTTATAGCTAGTAAATGAAATATGTATATGTATATGCATGTATATATACATATTGTACACATATATATATACATACAGATGGAACTAAAGAAGTTTCACTTCAGTCGTGTGGTCATAAGCACACTCGTTTTTATCTAGTAAAATTTTCTTAAAAACCCGTTTTTATACAAATGGATCGAAATCCTTCGTGTTCCGATTCCGCTCCGTTCACGCAGCTGAACAGTTTTATTTTCAAACAGGAAGCATGAAATCTAGATATTGATTGTACCTACTCCGTCGTACAAGTCAAGTGTATTTATTCATAGTATGTATTTGATGATACCTCATCACATGAACATTTCAATATCGCCTACTACTATCAATCAACACAACAACCGATGATTGTATTTTCTTATCACAATTTCCAATCACGACGCCTTGTATTCGTAATCCAAGAAGTATTCATGCATACAAATTCACGCTAACTATATTATTCATATTACGGTCAATTTGATATGACCAATTTGTGTGTACATACATCAATGCTAAAATATTACACTTTTTCCCGTATTTTTTTCAACAATTTAACTATTATGTTAGAGTGGCTGCGCTGAGCTGTTACGTTTATCTTTTTTATTTATTTCATTTATCACAAAAAATGAAACTCGCCCTCAACAATACTATTTTTTCCTTCACACGACCATGGGATCCATTACACGACACGTGAAAAATTATGGGACAGCAAGATCAATAGCTGACAACACCATTAATAAAAAACCTATCAAAAGAAAAACAACAGGATATTTATGGGTAGGTATACTGCTCTGTTAAAATTCAAATAAAATGTTGTTTGAAAAACTAATAAATATATATATATTAAAGATGCGTTGTTTGATACATAGCTAAATATGACTAAAGTCAAAATAAAAAAAAATACAAAGTAACTATTTGTCTAATTTTGACACATTTTACTTTGTATTTGCCGTGGCATAAATAGTCAAATTTAACTATTTTATCAAACAACAGGCCCATAATAAGGTAGTCCAACTAAAACTCATTAGTTGTTAAGCAGCCTATAAAAAATTTTAAAAAAACGAAGTAAGAAGTTCCCTTTGATTCACTTTAAAAAAAATTGGCACCCTACTTCGCCCACTTTTTTAAAGAACCTTATGCCAGTGTCACTCGAGTTGATGTAGGGATTCTAAACCAAGACATCCAAATCTGCTAAAGTATTAATAAATTGATGGTCGAATAAAGAAAAGCGCATACAAGAAATTTAGTTTTTATTTATTATACACATGAAAATATTTCACACCTTTTTTGGACAGTCATGTATAAAAAGCTAAATGTTTGCCATTACTCATTACGTAACTCCAACTGATGACTGCAAAAAAAAAAGGAAATTTTCTGAGTCGTGCCATTACCGCCAGCTCCCCGGGCCCGCTCTATCAATTACATCGTCGAGGGTAGTTTTAATTTTCATCGGGCGAAGCAAACTGCCGAAAACCACAAGCGACAGGCTGAACAAATTGGTAGCAGCAGTCAATTTGCCGGATCGTATTTTTGATCAAGTTTTAGTTAGTGACGAAAACTTTTTTCTAACTTTTGAAGGTTCAAAATGAAACTGAGCTTGAATTTCGAATGAATAAAAACTTATTTCTATTTAAACCGTTTTGAAAGCTGAATACACGGAATTCTATGATAATGACCGCGTTGTTTGAAACATAATTAAATTTGACTATTTGCCAATGTCACGTCAAATAATGTCTCCATTTTGACAAATGGCTATTTGCCGAAGTATACATCAATTTGACGTTTAACAAATTGACAAAGATGGAATGATAGGTTAAACAAAATTAAGCCTTAATTTGAATTAAGGATGTTTGTGCAAGTTTCCC